CTTGGGGCATCTTTTTCCACGGAATGTGAGTCTTTAAGTAAATAACTAACAGCTTTGTGGAGGTGGAATGACAGCCCATAACCACACTGGGAAACACGCACGGAGCGAGCTGAGCCCTTCTTGGCTGGCACGTGGAGCTGCTCTGTGCAGATGCAGTGGCTGCACCTCCTTCAGCCCCCTCTGGAGCTGGACGTGTGCATTGATTTAAAAAAGAAACAAAACTACCTTGAAACACCAGCCTTGGAGAAGTGGAAATGAAAACCCCTCCAGCTGCTGGCGTTCAACTACAGTCCCCTGGCACAGGTTTGCAAAAGCTCCGATTTACCGGCAGTGGGGTAACTGTTCCTGGCCAAGCCTTTGCTGCAGCTGGGACATCCCAGAGGGATGTGCTCTGAGGCATCCTCAGCAAGCTGGGAGGGACATAGCAGCCCATAAAGACGAATGCAAGAAACTTGTGTTTAAATACCCCTCCCAGTCTGGCTGGCCAAGAGCCTTCTCCATGCAGTTGTGTTGCTGATGGCTGAATGTCCTGGGTGTGTCCCTCAAAGCATGTTTGCTGGCTGGAAAATCCCATTAAAGCCATTTTACCAGAGCAAAAGTCTATTTTCGCTGCTCAGGTCCAGCAGCTCTGAGATGCCTGCATGGCATCTGTTACATAAGCTGCTGGTAACTCTGTCCTCCTGACTCGGCAAGGTGAGCTCTTCTAAACCTCCCAGTCTGAGAAAGATCTTACCACAGTGGCCTTCCTTGGATGTAGGGACTTCAGAGATGCACCTAAATCTGCCAGATGGAACAAATGGTGTCAAAACCACCCAGACTGCTGGGTGCTCACTTCATTCTGCTCCCACTGCATGTTTCTGTTGCTGCTGGGACAAGATGGTGGCTGAGATGACAGGGCACTGTGCATATAAGGAAATCGGGTCAGAAGCACCCGTCTTGGGCTCACTAGGATTTGGCAGTAGCCCTTCTGGGTGCCTCCTCAAAGCCAAAGCAGTGGCTAGACTGTGCCTAATCATGGAGTTATGAGTGAGCTCTGGCAACAGTCTTTGCAGCAAGTGGGCTTGAAATGGGTGTCTGTGGCTTGGAAAAAGCATCATGTGGCATCCTGGTGTCACCTGCAGACAGGATCCTTGAAGAGATTTTGCTCTGATCTTTCTCTCCTAAGAAGACAAGCTTATCTTGTCCCTTTCCCTATAGTCTTTGGCAGGACCATTTCCAGGCAAGACTGGTATTTTTGCATGTTTGTTCAGGGCTGGCTGTAGTACTTTGATTCATGGTAGGGCTTGGGGACTGCCAACTGCTCCTAGGCCTTGCTGGGGGCTTCCCTTCCCTGCAGGCTGTGAGGGTGGGAGGATTTTTCCATGTGGTGTGGATCTGCCTGCTCCTCCTCTGCAAGCTACCTGGCTAAGCCACCTCCTCTCCTCCTCGGCCTCACACTGCTGCTTCCACCAATGCCACAGGGCTAGAGAGAATTTGATGTGACTTTTTGTAAACCCTAGTGAAGGCCCTCTCCTGTGGGGCCGGGCAAGCTCTGCCCACGTTCTCTGTAAGCCCGGGCTCAGGGCGGCCCTGGCAGCAGCTTGTCTTTTTCCACTGATCCTGATTAAGATTCAGTCTTGGCAGGACGGAGCCTTTCGAGCTGCCAGCTGCAATAGGAGAGATGAGGCTTCAGGGGCAGCCGAAATT